TAAATCCCTGAATCAGACATGTAGGAGCAGGAAACAACTGAAACATGTAGGATGGTGTTCCTCAGGGACCAGGGTTGGGAACCACTGCCTAACCATTACCAGTACATACCTAACCCCAAATCTAACCCATCCTCAATTCATACCTTAGTCCTAAACCTAACCCCTAGCCCACCAACGGCATTTCTTCTTATGGGGCCCCATAAGGAGAAGTTCGTCCTTAGACAGCTCTTTTAACTCTTTGAACAACCTTAGATTGAAAAAACTCAAGCAATTTAATTTTTTTATTCCAGAGACATGACTGATAATCCAGTACTAAGCTTTTGGTCTCCATGTAATCATCTGTAACCTCCTAAAGGTTGTAAATGGTCCGAGCGGTGCCTCTTATCCATCTCCCCAATAATGGGTGAGCCTGACAGTGCACCATGGGAAGAACTTGGAGAGGAAAGGGGCAACAAACAGAAGAAGAGTAATCTCTCTAATCAGACGCAAATATAACAAAACTTCAAAGTACTGTCAGGTCAGGCTCGGAGGGAAGTTAGGCTTTGTTGTTTGATGAATTGATCACGAATTCCTCAAACACTAAAAGATTGATCTTTGTCTGCGGCTTCGGAAAAGTCTTTCTTCCAAACACCTTTTCCCAAATGTTTCAGTCAGTGGTGCTCATTCTAAGTTAGTCAGAGTCAGGGTATTGACTGGGAGGAAACTTCAAGCTACTTACTCTTCTGGACCGAATCTCGTTGACATACAAAGGCATCTGGAACTCGCTGACTCCCTCCAGGTGAAGCTGGTCCTGGTTCAGCTGCAGTTTTCCCATCCCATCCTGAAACAATCAGAATCGGCGATGAGCTGTTTGTGCTTCGTTTCCCAAGACTACAGATCTATCAAAGCAACAAAAAGCTGAATCTCGCTGCTGCTCGACTGTTTTTTGATTGACGAAGAGTTGCTGCTCTTCGACAGGCAGCGGCTCTGAGTGGCGGGGAAGAAGTCGGACATGACATCGAGGTGACGGGGCTTTAGACACACAGTCTGACTGCAGTGGGAGGGAGGTGAGAAGAATGAGACAGCTGTGGATGTGACGAGATCATTTGTAAAAATGACAAAATTAACCAGATTTAGCCATTCAGATGTGCATGAGTTGGCTCAGGACTGCTGAGAACATCATCATTAAGGTTTTTTATTGTTTCTGGCAGTAACATTAGTACTAACAGTATGTTCTGGTAAGTAATAAGGAGCATTAGACAACAATTGAATCATCAAATCATATGCATAAAACCCAGTATGAAATACATATTGCAACATCTATGGTGTTCATGCCCAGGGGAATGTGTATTTGTACCCAAAATTCATGTACAAGTTTCTTGGATGGGTTCAAAAAAATTGGAAAAAAATATACATTGGTCACGGGCGATCGCTTGTATCTTAAAGCAGTTACTTTCAATTCAGTTCAGCTTATTTATATAGCGTCAAATCACAACAGAAGTTATCTAGGGGCACTGAACAGAACCATTCATATACATTATAAATGCCAATTAATAAAGTCATCTATCTAAGGAAGGAAGGAAGGAAGGAAGGAAGCCACCAGATTGTGTTGAGTCTTCATTTCACCACAGTCTCCCATCCTGAGCTAGCACAAAGGCAACAGTGGAAAGGAAAATGTAGCAACATGTCGAAAGCTAAAGTACCAAAATGATTGGTAAAAAAGTAGCAGACAAGTAGCTAAAGGTAGCAAAAGGCTAGCCAAATAACTGCAACAACGGAAAAACTAAAGCACTCTACTTCCTTCGCATTTAGTCATCCATTATCTTTTACCAGTTTTGCTTCCCGGATTGCAATGATTCTGATTAGATGCGTTGCGGTGCCATCCTGTGCACTTGGCATCCACCACGAGTAGGCTTGGAAGCAGTCAGCACTTGTATGGTTTTCTTAGAAGAAAGCTGCCTTTCATTTTTGGAGTTTGTGAAACATTTTGTTTGACGCTGTTTACAGTAGGGGTGCACCGATCAGTGTTCTGGCCAATCACCGATTTCTAACAAGTCTGAACTGCCGATTCCAATTTTTGGCAATACCGATTTTGTTTTATAAGCGACACTGTCAGGTGTTATAAGGTCACAACGCACCTTCAATTTTCCAATCTTATTTTATTGAAAAACATACCATGGAACAATATCCTAGAAACAATACAAACTTGTTTTAACTGGCCATGAGGTAGTGCTCTGAAATATAAATGAAGTTCAGACAATTGTTGTTAAAACTAAAAAGTCGATAAAATCGGTTTCTCATGCAAGTATCGGACGATTTCCGATTTCCCAAAATTAAGGAAATCGGGGCTGATTTATCAGTGCATCCCTAGTTCATATTGTATGAATAATGCAGTACAAGCTGATGGCTTATTTTTTTTAAGTGAAGTTACTGATGGACAAATCTTTCCTTATCGTAGATGACCCAGTACTTTAGAGCCTCCTCACAAGCAAGGGTGGTTTGATTTTTCGTTTTTTGTCTCTAGTTTGGACCATTCCTTATTTTTCAAGTTATCTAGCTCCATCATGTTTACAAATATATGGTGATGGCCATCTTGGATTTTGACATGACAGCTTAATTTTCTCAAATAATCTTTTCACCTAGATGAAGCCACACATCAAAAAGAAAGTCAGTACCTCGTTTATTTTTCCAAGTTATCATGCTGACAGCAACATGAGTTAGGAATTTCTGGAACTGTTCTCAAGTGGTTTTCCTCTTATCTGAGCAACAGAACCTTTTCAATGTTTGTTAATAACATACAGTCTAAGACCGCTCCGTTACTGTATGGTGTTCCTCAGGGTTCAGTCTTAGGTCCTATTCTGTTCTTTCTATACATCAGCCCCCTTGGAAAGATTATCAGTAGCTTCAGAATTGTGTCTTACCATTTCTATGCTGATGACATTCAACTGTACTGTTCCTTCTATGACTCAGAATTACACAAGTTAGCTGAATTAGTAAATTGTGTTTCCCATATTAAGGCGTGGCTAGCTAACAACTGCCTTCAGTTAAAGTCTAACAAAACTGAAATCCTGATCATTGCTCCTGAACAGAAAGTTTCTTGGATCAAGCAACACCTCGGTTATCTGAGCTCCTCTTCTCAGCCGAGCCTCAGAAACCTTGGTGTTCTGTTCGACCAATCAATGTCGTTGGAAAAACATTCAAACCTTCTGGTAAAAAAAACCTGCTTTTATCATCTGAGAAATATTTCTAAACTTAGGGCAATCTTATCCAAATTTGACCTGGAGATGATTATTCATGTTTTTATTTCTTCTCGTTTAGATTATTGTAATTCCCTTTTTACTTGTTTTAACAAATATGCCGTCACTCGTCTCCAGTTGGTCCAGAGCGCTGCTGCGAGGCTTTTAACAGGAACTAATAGAACATTACACCAGTTCTATCTTCTCTTCATTGGCTGCCTGTTGAATTTAGAATTAATTTAAAAATTTTAGTCTTAACTTTTAGAGCTTTAAATGGACAGGCCCCCCAGTACATCACTGAAATGTTGATCCCTTATTCTCCAGCCCGCACCCTTCGGTCTTCAGCATTGAACCTCCTAAAGGTCCCTAAGACCTGGTTTAAAACTCGGGGTGACCGATCCTTTCAGGCCATAGCCCACAGACTGTGGAATATCCTGCCCCTGTCTCTTCATGTGACCATCTCCATTGATTCCTTTAAAAAGCAGTTTAAGACGCTTTTATTCAGACAAGCTTTTAGTAAAATGTTTTATTTACTGTTTGTATTAGCTGTTCTTAATGTTTGTATCAGCTGTTCTTACTGCTTTATCAGCTGTTCTTACTGCTTGTATCAGCTGTTCTTACTGTTTGTATTAGCTGTTCTTACTGCTTGTATCAACTGTTCTTAATGTTTTTATCAGCTGTTCTTACTGTTTGTATCAGCTGTTCTTACTGCTTGTATCAGCTGTTCTTACTGTTTTTATCAGCTGTTCTTACTGTTTGTATCAGCTGTTCTTACTGTTTGTATCAGCTGTTCTTACTGTTTGTATCAGCTGTTCTTACTGCTTGTATCAGCTGTTCTTACTGTTTTTATCAGCTGTTCTTACTGTTTGTATTAGCTGTTCTTACTGCTTGTATCTGCTGTTCTTACTGTTTTTATCAGCTGTTCTTACTGTTTGTATTAGCT